TTGCAGTGAGAATCTTTATAATTTACACTCCTCGCTGCATATCATTACATGGATCAAGTCAAGGGCGACGAGATGAGCAAGGCGTGTAGCACCCATGACAGAAATGAGAAACACGCATAAAATCTTAGTTGGAAAACTTTAATGAAATAGACGAAGTGCTCTTGGGACGTACGTGGGAGGATGATACTGAAATTGTTCTTAGTGAAATTAGTTGTGAGACTGGGCTGGTTTAATCTGAGGGCAGAAACCAGCGGCCGGCTTTTCCGAACACGGAAATGAATCCTCGGGTTCCCCAAAAGGCGGATCATTTCTTGATTACCTGAGCGATTAATAGCTTTTCAAGAAGGACTTTCTCAGAGATAAACATATCGTCTGTCATTGTGAGTAGTAGTAATCAGAGCGGAGACAATCTAAGGACAAGTTCTGGTTTCTGCCCATAAACACACGCGCGCGGTCTGCTGTTAATGACAAGCCTTATCAAAAGAGTTTTTCCCATGGAGCTGCAGTGATTCTGTTGATAAGAATAATTTCATCTAAGAGAGATCCAACAAAAGTGAAATTCTCACATTCACCTACAGTGACAGTGAAATTGGTGATAGCTCCATCCAAAGAGTGTGTGCAAACTTTACAGTCGTTCGAAACACGGACACGGTCTCTGGCCCATGATCCCTTCTTCCGGTGACTCTGTAATGCACTTCTCTTACTCGTCATTGAGACGGCGTATGGTATTTCTAACGTTGGTGTTGATACTGCCCGTTTGTGGATTGTACATACAGAAATTTCTTTAAATAGCCTGAAGGAAAGAGACCATTCGGAAGACCTAGGCGTAGATGGGGGAATCTCAGGGAACTAGAGTATGTGATTGTGGATTGGATTAATCTGGCAAGATATAGGTACTGTTGTCTGCATGCTATGAACCGTAGGATTCCATTAAAGGCAGGGAATTTCTTGACTGAGTGTTCCGGGTGTCATGTAGGATTCTGCTCCGTGAACTTAGTGAATGTATGGGTTTGCCGCACCGAGGAAGAAGTGTTTTGTAGTTCAAACATTGTTTAATAGTTGATGTACTTACTAGTACCATCATTAATGTGATTTTACTTTCAGTCCTTTGAAGCCGGCGTTTGTCTAAATGGTATTCAAGATTATATTCGTACCTCGAAGAAAGTCAATACGTTTCTTTCACAGAGATTACCTGGTAAAATATTAAGGGCGATAATAGTTGTTTATTCTTTGAATCATACAAAAGCCATAAATACAATAGTTTAATGTACAAAAAACCAGTCGTTTAATGTTAACATACGAAGTACATGTAGTTACCACAGGGCTTTAAAGGGTTAAGACATAAATAAGAGTTAACTGCCAACATTTAATGTACCATGTGTGAAAACAATACCTGTATGTTAATTTATTTTTCGACAAGTATAAAATACAATTTTGTTACGAAATGGAAATGACGTGTTATTTCTAAAAATTAAAAACTTGTCAGGTACAGTAAATGCATATAAGCCTGGTGAATGGCGTACGTCTGTAAGCCGCCCAAAATCACGAAACATTTTCATTTTTATTTTCGTTTTTCGCCATTACAGTATTTTTCGTTTATTACTGACAGATTTATGGAATGGAGTATCTTGAGATTTTGCATTTTTTTATGTCAGTGCCATCTTGCGGTGTGTGACGAGAGGTTTTGACGACTTTGAACATTTGGGTTGTATATTTAAGAGACGCTCAAAAGATTAGGGGTTTTCACGAAAAAAATCTGTTGGATTAACAGTTTTCCGGACGAAGTTTCTGGCCTGGGGAATCCCGAATA